ATATGTGTCTCAGAGAAGTACATTGGCCTCAGGTTCTTATTCGCTGGGGGACACACATAAGTGACATGATTACAAACTGTTCATTTCACCTTAATGGTAGATCATTCTAGTGTATTTATAATAGTATACAAAAGTATTATGCTAATCATTTCTTCCATACCGGCCCAGTAAAATGAATAAAACAGTATCCAAAATAAAGAAATGAATAACAAATAGTTTAAAGATTTCAAATTGACAGTACACAATGTAAACCTATAGGGCATTAGTGCTTGTTGTGCCACTGACTGCCTTTACGTTTGTTATTGTGAACCAAGTCTCGCTCAATGAGAAGTCTAGCTCTGAACACAAGTCCCTGGCGAGACTTGGTTAGACACAATAACAAACAGATCGGACGTATTTGCTATCAAAGACAGAAATCAGATGTAGCCCGTTTACCAATCTTCATCTGGAAGTTGTTGAAGGAATGCTCGTTGATGTACTTCATCTGCTCCCTCAGTCTCATGGAGTAGTCTGCCAGCGCCAGGATGTGGGAGCGGCCCTCCTTGTCGTAGGTGGAGTCATTGAGGCCCGAGGCGGCCATGTAGGTGGAGCCGATGGTCTTGATCTTCTCCAGCTGCCTGTACCTCTCCTCACTGATGATCTGGGTGGAGAGGATCAGCACAGGGCCATGGTTACACCCTGCCGTTTTAGTCATTTAGCAACAGACGCTTCAATATCCTGTAAGTAGGGCGGGCGATATGGAAACATGTATTATCACGATAATTATGGGTTAGAGTTTTACATGATATGCTTATGAATTCAAAATACCATTCTAAACAGTCTAACTGAGGGTCATCACATCGAAGCATATGGAGATTTAAAGTATGGTGTCGGACTCAAACTAGTTATGCTTTCTCAATGACTTTTCAAACCTTATGTCTGATCATTTTAAGGGCATATCATATTTCATTTAGACTATAACTGGGTATCACGATATCTTCATTTCATGATGGTAAGATGCCATTCAAAGATGATAAACAATAATATTGAATTATTGCCCAGCCCTACCTTTAGGTGCCTTACAGTGTGAATACAGTGTCACTAGGAATGTGACGAAGGAGCAGTTAGAGCGGTTAGACGACTTGCTCAAATGGACGCTGTCTATTCAACCTTCCTTTATAGGCTGGGATGAGGACAATGGAGACAATGGCGCCCAGAACACACAGCTGCCTACACACAAGTCTATCCCGCTCCTTACATCCTAAAATGCTTTTATGTATCTGTGGAGTGTGTGTGGGTGACAGCTGGTCTACAGCCTCACCTGAGTCAGACTGATTAGACTCTGGGTTGGGTGGGGCTGCACACCTGTGGTGCAGAGCAACCATGACACCCAGGATAAACCAGCTATCACCACACACACAAGAGAGTCAGTGTTTAACCCCTGCTTTGGCTGTAACATTGTTTTGTTAGTCCAACATCTACCTGTGTCCTGTGTCGCAGGAGCCCAGCAAAGCCACTTAGGTGGCGTGTGGCAGGGGTAACCTGCCACAGTATTGTTTTACTTGTTTTAACATCGCATTATTACTTTGACTTCGATTATATGCCCCCAATTATGTAACGGAGGTTACTGTATGGCAAATATATGAATCTCCGTGTACTAACTAAATATGAAATGAAATTCGATTAAATACAACTTAATTTCATTAAATGCATTAATTGTATTACTGGTAGAAAATGGACGGACATCAAATCTCATCCACTTTAAACTCCATCATCCACCCTTCCGGTCCGTACCTCGTCAAAGTCGGCGATGATCTCGTTGAGCAGGCGGAGACACTCGACGCCCTCGTTGTTGGACTCCAGCTCCACGTAAAACTCGGAGAAGTTGCTGATGGAGGCGAACATGACGGCCACGCACTCGCACGACTGGTAGTACAGCTCGTCGTTGCGCCGCTCGCGGGCCAGGAAGTGCGCCGCCACGTCCTTGGGCAGAATGTTGTGGAGGAGCCGGCGGTTGTAGGCCTGCAGCTCCTCCATTTCTTCCTTCTCCTCCGTGGCCTGACACGCACACAACCGCACACACACACAAAGGAAAAAGGTACATAGTGGGGACTGTTTGACTACCTTAACCGTTTTGTATTTTTGAAAAAGAGAGAAATATGATCTACAAATGTATGACAAAAACAGTAGTTACAATACATTGTATCTGTATTCTAATATATTTACCCAGAGATATGTGTGCCTTGTGGCACTGTGGCAGAGAGCGACATCTAGAGTAAAAGCGGTGAGAGGGCGCCCTCTACAGGAGATGAGGCATACCTGTAGTTTCCAGAGGAAGTCGAGGCGAGCGGTGGACTCCACCTGCTGGGCGTGCAGGTACAGCGCCAGGACAAACACCGTGAGGATGACAGGCGTCATGACCCTCAGGGACACTTTGGTCACAATGAATGGGCTGCAGAAGGGACAGAGAGAGGTTAAAGGTCAGGCAGGTGAAAAGGGTGCATACAATGGGAGACAAACTACACCTGTAAAGGTTATAGGCAATGTAGTCAGGAATCTTACCACTGATCCGATGTTTCATTATAGCTGGGCCTATAAGTGACAAAAAAGTTAGTTTTTGTTAGTTTTAGAAATAAAGAGAAATACTGTAAAATGTACAGGTCTATGCAAGACTTGAGAGAAAAAGACCACACTTCTCACCAATTGGTTGCATTGAAATCACTGGAAAAGAAAAAGAAAAACATATCAACAGATAAATGATGTCAACAGATAGAAAGCATGAGATAGGAATCTTTCAAAAAATGAATTGTCATTCAAAGTCAACTCCAAAACTAAAGTGACTTGACTTTGGTAAAGGAGCAACCGAGTGCAACCAATCAGTAAATAAAATACCGAGCGTTGTCTGAAAGGAGCAGCACTCACAGAGCGTTGGAGGTGACAAAGAGGTCTGCGTTGTCGAACAACGCCCTCTGTGGCCACTCCACCAGCAGCAGGAAGGTGAACTGGATCAGCAGCATGAGGGCCAGCTTGCCGATGCTGCTGATCTGCAGGAAGACTGAGCAGGCCAGCAGGGTGAGCAGCACACTGTAGCTGAAATACTACACACACGCCCCCACGCACACACACACACACACACACACACACACACACACACACCCCAATGTCAGTGGAGGAGCAGCTTTCACCAGGGCCCACATTACGAACAATGAATACAATGATCTTCATAGCTTTGGATTTTGGTGGTCGTACTTTTGTGATCAAGCGTAAACGGTGTATTGGTGGTGAAGGGTTGGTCCATTAAAGTGCTTCAATTACATCAATCATTTGACATGCATTTTATCGATAAATAAAATGAAAATGAATAAAATACAAATTACATTTTTTGAATAGTGTGTGTGCTAAAGGGTACAATATCCTTCTGTTGTGATACTTGATTTTAGTCAATGTCACCCAACTCTTCCATCTGACAACAATATACAGTATATACCGGCCTATATGGTGGACTTTTATCCAAAGTATCTTACATGAGCTCACAATACAGTGAGTGCATAGGAGGCCCCAGTAGGAATCGAACCCCAGCACACTGGAGATATTAATGCCATGCTCTACCAGCTGAGCTACGCAAGACAACACATAATCATGTCCTAGATTTAACCATTTATTGCATGAAATGGTAATAGACTTTAGTTTGGTGGTATGGTTTTACTCTTTTAGGGTGCTCCTCCCTGCTGTAGGATTTAAAGCATGACATACAGATTTCAGATACAGCGTAACAACATTTGACAACAGGGAGCGCTAGACAATCCCCCCATGGGGTACATCAGATATCTCAACCCATTGTGTAAGTGACATACAATACAGAGCAGAACCGCAGAGAGTGTGTGTGTGAGATGGGTATTACATTGACCGCTTATCAGTGTCCGTGCATTTGATTGGACCGCGTTTGGCTGTCCAGTGCTAGCTATGCCCATTAACAGTGCGGTGACATTGGGACAGCAGGGGGGGTCTATAGTCACCTCAGGAAAGGGACAGGAGGGCCCCCTGCTGGGGCAGATCTCCAGACCGCCCTCCGCGGACACGTTCAGACTTCGGATCAAACACGGCGTCACCATGGCAGCAGAAGTGTTCAACTTCTCGGCGACGCACTCCGCCAAGCCTTTGGTGTCGCAGGCGAACTAAAACCCACATGAACAGAGACACACAGTTATATTATACACAGTATATGTATGCATGCTCTTTGTGTAGCATGTACATGACAGTATGTGTGTGCGTGTGAGCATGTGTGTGTGTTTGTGTTTGTGTGTGATCGCGTGTGTGTGAGCGTGTGTGTGTGTTTTTGTATGTGTGTGTGTATGTGTGTGTGTGTGTGCATGTGCGCGTGTGTCTATGCACGGCCTGGGTGTTCCTGTGTTGTGCCTTCGTACCATATTGACGAAGGCAGAGATGAAGACGAGGATTATGGTGAACACTCCCACCAGCGTGCTGTTGGTGCGAGACTGCACAATCTTCCTGGAGACCGTTTGCATCGCAGCCGGAAAGAGCTACATACGAGCGTACAAGAGATACAAGCCTTAGGTGCAAACCCAAAACACAGACAGATATCTTTACATGGCTAAAAATAGATTGAATTAAGACAGCTACCTTAATACAAGAGTATATGGCACAGATGAAGAGGATGTTGGCGAGGATGATGAAGATACTGATGTAGATTCCCAGCATGACAGGGGTGCTGTGAGACAGAACAGATTACACACACGTCAGGTTGACATTTTAAGACAACATGATGCTGTCTATAAGGTACCGTTTAATACAAATCAAGCTCATTGAAAACCCCTCCCCAAAAATGTGAAAAAGACAGGTCAATCAACCAATCCGCGCTCGGGGGAAGGGAGTTTCAGTTCACGGCGAAGCAAGTCTGCCGAACTAAAATACAATGGCGGCGCCCGAGGAAAGCGTAGCAACCAACAGAGCAATCAAAACTGAATAATAGACTGAATAACGATGTTGAAAGGCGGTCCTGTGGTCCTGACTAGCTCAACTGGTAGGGCAAGGCATTGATGTTGCCAGGGTTGGGGGGTCGTGTTCCCCTGGGACCATCCATGCTACAAATATATGCACTCACGGTATTGTAAGACTATGGATAAAAGCATCCACCAAATAGCTTATATTATATTATTATATTATTAGTAATAGATTAAAATAATTTGTAAGGAAGACTCGAATATGTTTTTGGAATATGTTTTTGCAAGAAGGAAGAGAGCAAGCCACGCCAATTTGGGGAAATCAATGGCTACCCAGCCGAGGCCAGACTGACAGTCATTGCAAAACGCAAGATTGAATATCCGGATGGTCTCACGAGGCGGCTCAGTACATATATATATGTTGGAAATACTCACTGGGGAAAGATAACGATCTGTATGAAGGATATGAAGCAGAAGACGAGAACAGTGCAGGCAACGTAACCTCCGAAACGATCGTCCACCTTCTTGGAGTACTGTAAGGGGAGGGAGACGCGGTGCGGTGGTTAAGGTCCTGGAGGTTTTCTACGAGTTGTATAGTCTCATATGGCTGACGACGGCAGGGGTTTTACTGTAAAACAAACCTTCTTCTCCAAGCTGGACGCCTGGAACGTGAGGAGGAACTTCTTCACGTGGTCTTTCCTCAGCTGGTCGATGCTGCGGGCGTCGATGGCCCGGCCCAGGAACTCATCTACCTCCTCCTCTGGGTTCATAGCCTCCTGCACGCCGCGGCTGGACAGAGAGAGAGAGAGAGAGATGGATGGCTGGATAGAGAGAAAGAGAGAGAGCGAGAGAGAGAGAGAGAGAGAGAGAGAGAGAGAGAGAGAGAGAGAGAGAGAGAGAGAGAGAGAGAGAGAGAGAGAGAGAGAGAGAGGGATAGAGAGAAGGAGAGAGAGGGAGAGAGAGAGAGAGACAGAGAGAGAGAGAGAGAGAGAGAGAGAGAGAGAGAGAGAGAGAGAGAGAGATAGATAGATAGTTAGATACTTACTTGTCTTTACTGGAGCTCTCATCGATTCCCTGAGAAGGTGAAAGAACGTATCCCTCAAGTCATTGCATTAAACATATCAAGACGGCTGAAATGTTTCGGTGTCAAACGGTGTCACAGTGTTCCTCTAGGGCAGTGGTTCTCAAATGGGGGTACGCGTACCCCTAGTGGTACTTGAAGGCACTCCAGGGGGTACGTGAGATTTAAAAAAAATATTTGCATAGCATTAATTCAAAAAATATTATTTAATAAATATTTAAATAAAATATAAGTTGAAGTTCATAAACAGAATTTTATATTCAGAAGGTTATTCAATTTCATTACCCTAAAACCCTGAGTCTCCCCCGTATCAGGATGTTATGACCCAACCTGGCACACGCCACATATTATCAATTGTCATTCGCTGTTGCCTTGACAACTTTTACTCCTTTTTTTCAACAAAAATTCTTTGCGCTGGTTAGGGGGGTACTTGCCTGAAAAAATATTTCACAGGGGGTACATCACTGAAAAAAGGTTGAGAACCACTGCTCTAGGGCTATTGTCTCAGTAAATCTCACCATTTGTCTGAAGACCTTCGAGTCCTTGGTCCTGGTGAAGGTTCTTTCTTGGACCCAGCGAGGCATCAGGCCCTCGTTGGAGTTGGCCCTGGTCCGCTGCATCTTCGCCATCATCGCCTTCTCCTCTTTCTGCTCGACAGGACGTAAATAAAAAGGTATTTCCGTGACCTTCCAACACTCATACATATAACACACAACTGATGGCCGGAGCAACAGCTTTCTGTTCTTGTCAGAGACAGCCCCGCCCTGCCCGGGTTTCGGTCCACTGACCCGCTTCTGACTGCAGCCGAGGACCAGGAAGGTCTCGATGCCTTTCTCCTTCAGGTAGGCGTTCCTCTCCCCTCCGAAGCCCGGCTCCACCTCGTAGTCGCTGTTCAAATACTGCAGCGTTGCTTTGGTGATGTGGATGCGGACTGGAAAAGACCGCAAAGATCCAGATTCATAAGAGCGACCATCAACTCAACTCTAAAACCTTGGGGTCGGCAGGCAGCATCTCCGGGGGTAAGTGTGGTAGACTCTTCTGGATTGGTTTAAAATGGGTGATGTCACTTCCCACACAAACTATGGCATGTAATCATTAAACAATTATGGTGTTTGCTTCTCTTTCAGTTTTGTTTGTATGTGTGTGTGTGTGTTTGTGTGTGTATATATTTGTATATATCTGTATGTTGTGTATGCCACGCACACATGTGTATGTTGTGTATACACGCAAACACACACACACACACGTGTGTATGCACTCTCACATACACATGCACACATGCATGTTGCATATATTGTGTATGCTCTTGTATTTGCGAAGGCTTATCTCCCTCACCCTGCTTTCCCCCCGGCCCTCCATGTGGTTGGCCAGCGTGACATCATTTGACCATACGTCAAACTGCCACTTCCTGAGTCCCAGCACGCCGCAGTGCACGCGCCCACTGTGGATGCCCACCACGCATGTTCACATTGACCCCTGTGACCTCTCGCACCAGCCTGCAGAACAGAGGGAGGGTCCCGTTAGGTGTCAACAACAACAACAACAACGTGACACACCGCACATGCACAAATAATATACACACTCGACAACACACACACACACACTCACACACATACACACTCAAGCATGACTTACGAGATAGCCTCTATCATGTCGACGCCCATTTCCACGCAACAGTGGGCGTGGTCGGCCCGCGGCTCCGGCAGGCCAGACACACAGTAATAACAGTCCTCCCAGAATCTTAATACGCAGACAGTGGTTTTTCCCTGAGACCAGAAGGATATATATAGGTTAGGGGAGAAAAGAGGAACAGGAAACAGAACGAGAACAAAGGACTGCCAAATATAATGTAAATACACTGGTCACCGCGGCCATGTTCACAACGCAGGTTGAAGTGGCTCAAAATGAGATCTTTTGTGAGCAGGAGGAAATAACTGACCACACATCACCATGGAATCTATTCAAATTAGATTGGATTAGACTGTGGGGTGTGTGTTCGTAGTATACCGAAACACACCTGGATCGCATCTCGCGGGCCAGGCGACCGCAATGTGAACAGACGAAGAACAAAAATGTAAATAACAACCAGAGTTGAGTTTGAAGGCCTGCGGTGTGAATGTAGCACTGGGGACTTCCTAACAAGGAGGCTGGGGTCGATTGAGTCGAGCGCGGGCGGGCGAGGCGCGGCGGCGGTGGCGACCAAGTGTCTTACCGACGCCAGCTTGTCGAAGCGAGCGAAGAGCTCGTTGAGGGTCATGACCAGCTCCTGGGCCGTGCACTGAGACGCCAGGCTGGTGAAGCCCTCGATGTCCGCAAACAGGATACTACCGGACGCACCGGGGGACGTGGGCCGAGGGGAGAAGAAGGAGGAAAGAAAAGAGGAGGAAAGAAACACATATTGAAAGTGATGATCGAAACGAGAACCTTGCACATCCATGTCCCTTTCACATCAGAGTCTAGGCCAGCGGTGCCCAACCTTGGGGTCGGGACCCCACTTGGGGTCCACTGATATGCATACATACGGGTCAGGAGATTGCTGACATAAGCTATAGATATTTGAGTGTGTGAGAGTGAGTCAGAGAGAGAGAGAGAGAGAGAGAGAGAGACTATGTTGCTGAGTGTATATATGCCCAGTGCTGTAATTGAATGTGTGTGGAAGCTCTCTCTCTCTTCAGGGATTATGTTATCTTGGCTGCTGGTGATTATGTATTCCCTCACTTGTGTTAATTAGCCTCTGCTTTGCCAAACCACTCCACTTGAGCAATGCAAGTGTGTGTGTATGTGTGTATGTGACTGTCTGTCAGTGCATGCGTATGTTCATGTTTATGTGTGTGCTTCTTGCGTGCGTGTGTGCATGTGGGAAACAAATTGTGGGAAAAAAACAACCATAGAATTAAAAAAGT